AGCAGGAGGGATGCCAAGAAGGCAACGACCTAGTCACAAAGCTGGGCTAGGAAAATGCTCTTGGAAGCAGTGTTCTGAATGGAGATGAGCAGGACCGGACTGTATTTGTCAAGGCCTGAGAAAAAGCTAATGCAGTAGTCAAGACCTGAGGCAGGAAAAGAGCTTGAACTGGATGATTGGCTAGGAAAGATAATATCTTAGCAATGCTGTTCAGAAGGAATCCGTATAACTTAAACGTAGTCTGGAGATTGAGGAGAACATAAGGACATTTGGAATCTACTTATAACATGACAGGTTGGTGCCAGTGAAATGTCCCATGTTATCAACACCGGTACTATAAAGTCTGTGTCCCTTCCAATTACTAGTACTGTTTTGAGGATTGTACTAGCTGGCATAGTCTATTAACTGGCACCGCGGCGCTGCCACCATCCACCACTCCGCGCCACCGCTGTGTGCAACCACCTCACGCTGCCATCGCGCTGCCACTGTGCTGCCACCATCCACCAGCCCCCGCCGCCACACAAAAGCTCCCCCCTCTGCCTCTGGCTCCTGTATTTTTAGATAATTGGCATTTTTACATTACCGGCACCCGGCATTCCCTGCTCATGCCGGATAACGGAGATTTTCCTGTAGTAGGTTTTGGATCTGGATTGCAACCACCCGAACGTTTGCAGCTGCTGGGAGTTTGCTGAGGACCTTTGCTAAGATGAGGGTCATAGGCAGCATTGCGTAAGGTTGAAATCTAGGACTCCTGTATCGTTTGTGTTTTGCTATATACTGTTTAGGGAGGCTTTTGGCAAGTTTCTTACCCTTCCTAAGCACTGGGACTCTGTTTCCAAAAGATTAGGGTGCCTGATATACTGCATTCTTTGGTGTCAAGGTTCATTGCTCCCCTTTATTGGGGAGCAATGAATCAGGAACTTCTTAACCATATGCCCTACACCATCATCTGCTCCTAACTAATGGAGACTCCTCTTTAGCTCATATAATAGGGCTGTTTGCTTTGGAGGCTTCGGGGTGTGAGTTCTGTCTCCTCTACACAGCTGCAAGTGGGCATGGGACGCAGCCGGCTCCATTGCAGTCTGCACGCTACCTCTGTTTACAGAGCAGAAGATGCTAAAGACTGCGTCCAATCATGATTTCCAAGCCCCCGAAGTCAAAGCATTGGGTACAGTAGAAAACGCAGCCTGTGCAGCCACGAATGTGTTGCTCTGGGTTCCTGTGAGCTGGCTGCTGCTCTTGACATTCCTCATTGGCATACAGCGCAGAGGCTTGAATCATAGGAGGTGGGTGGCTTGAATCACAGCCCAGAAACCAGGGTGGTGAGCACCCTCACAATACACCACTCATCGCAAGCCAAGGAAACTCCAAGGTCAGTCCTAAACCTGCCTCCCTCCGCCCGGCAGCGCGTGTCAGTGCAGTAGTCGCCATGTCCAGGCTGGTAGCCAAGCCGGCTTTGTGATGATGAGGGTGCACAGTTCGGTGGCCAGTTGTGCAGGCTGGTACATTAACAACGCTCTGCAGTTGGATGCCCTGTAAAATAAATGAGACCAATAATGCCGGGGAATCTATTTGGCTGTGGCTGCAGCAACACTTCCATTTGATAAGATCTTCTCCAAATGGTGATAAATAGCCCACCATACTCTGCTGGGGCTGCACCGTGCAAGCCACGGGCAGCCTGGGGTGGGGGGCGCCGGGCCCTGCCGGGTGTCTCAGCAGGGGCAAGGAAGTGCTCTGTGGTGGGCACCAGGCCCCATTCTACACTGCCATGCACGCAGCGGGGATTAAAGCAGCAATGACCCCGCTGCAGCTGGATCTAACCACCGAGCGCCCCATCCCCTGCCCTCCCTGGCTCCTGCCCGCGGGGAAGCGCATGGGGGCTGCGCTGGGTATTTCTGCATGAGGAATCATTGAAGAAACAAACACGGGAGGCGTTTCTGCCTGCGCTGGGCTGCATTGCTTCTCAGGCTGCCTTTGAAGACACAGGCTGGGCCCCAGCAGCCAGGCAGCAGCGCCCATCCCCCAGCACAACCTTGAGCGCTCATTTTTGCACGGCCGGGCACCGCGCTGCCATGGATTGATTCCCCCCCACCCCCTCTCCTTTGCTCAGTCATTCAGACTTGGAAAGTCAATAACAAGCTGACATCATCAGTGGTTTGTGTGTTATTACACTGCTACTTTCAAAAATACCCCGCACTCTGCAAGAGAGGAGCACTCGCCGGCCGCGCAGCGCCTAAGAGAGGAGCACTGTCTGCCCGCCCGCCTGCCTGTCTGCCAGGGGGAGAGCCTGGCACCCGGCTACAGGGAGCGGGGCGCGGGGTTTCTCAACCCGTGGGGCGCACCCCAAAAGTGCGTCGCCAGACTGTATGAAAGGGTTGTGAACCAACTTTTAGAAATGGATTTTCCTTTAAAGGAGGAAAATGTGAGGAACGGTGGCTTTTCCATTGCAAGGTTCCAGCCTGCGAGGGGCTGCTTGGGGCCCCCGCACCCACCCCCTGCCCCACACGCCTGCCCCCTGCCCCACACAACA